AATGCCTTTCACATTTAATTTATTATGGATATAAAAATGATTTATTAACATAGTGGCATTAAAAATCATAAACATAATCTATTCCTATACCCTCTAACGCTAATGCCATAACTCTAATTATTATCGTTATACGTATACAGTACGTACTTAGTTTATTTACAAACTAAATTTCCTTTTTGGTTGGTATTAAGTAAAGCCAACGATCCCCCATAACAAGAGCTTGCTAATAAGAAACAAGCGGAGATTTTCAAAGTTACTTCATAGTCAATATATCACAATCTTGAAGTATTAATAAAGCTGGTTCTAATGGCTCGATTCCCATACATACCGTAATCGTGTTTACTTTTTTTTTTTTAATCGTCGAGAAAACGCTGTTTATTAGATCAAAATAATTATTTATGGATTATAGTTCGTTATTTAAATATTTTTATGTAAATTAAGAGTGTGGATCAAATATTCTTTTTCTTTTTCCCCTTTGTTAGAATTTTTAACTATTTAATTATTCTGTCTTTCCAAATGAGAGGAAGTACTTTTCTGGGAGAGGTTTTTTACCCCACTTTGTATTCGTGAGCCAATATGATAATATTGATATGAAGCCAAATCATGAATGAGTGAGCCAGGGTCGGTTTGTTTTATTCGCTAATATTATTTCTTCTACTGTATTTGGTTGGGATTCCAAAGAACTCGTATGCTGAATTCCAGATTTTTTACTAATTCGGCATTCGAGCGCGAAGTGAGTAAGTGTATGCTCTTTTTTGGACACCATAAACAGTGTGTTTTGCGTTGAGGTGAAATAAACCAGCCTTTTGCCTATCGGTAATGCGTTGTGTATTAAACGCCAGAATATATCTTTTTTTTGTGTTTGAGATCCATTTAAATTGAGACCAGGTCCAAATTTCCTTTCTCTTATTGTCAGTGAATAGATTCGCTTGTGATAAAGTAATTTTGATGGACGTCTGTTTCAAGAATTCTGTTGCATGTGAAACTTTGTATTTATTGCTTGTTGTTTGCATTATTTCATCGTGTTTACTTTTGAATGTATACAGTATTTCTAGGATGTTTTGATATCAATGCCACATATAGTAAAGAATTTTTTAACATATCTATGGTCACTTTCTCTTTTTTGTCTATGCTAAAAACAAACTTTTAACATATTTGTATTTTGAATAAAACAATCTACAATTGATTCATTGAAGGAATTAAATTCAAAACTCATAGCGGAGATAACTGAATTCAAAAAAGAGAATGCTGAAATTAAACCAAGATAATAACTAAGGGTATTCTCAAGTAGCATACTCTATTAGGGTGCGCTATATCATAATTGATCAAAACTATATAAGGTCAATCGATAAATTGATGGTAATAAATTTTCTGAAACTTGTAGATTAGTCGGAGTGTCAATTCATAGCAAAGATATATAAATTTCGCGTAAAATAATATATTTGATTTTTTTTGCTCAAATTTTTTATTAATATAAAAAGTTCTTCTGTAATTTTGTTCTTATCTCTACGATTATGATATGTAAAAAATTTGAGTGAAAAATAACGGGTTAGTGAACCTAAACATCTAATTTCGCGAAATCCTTAACCAATTCATTTTATTATTCGGATATACTTAGAACGTCTGACCAATTGAATTCCGTATATTAGTGTAACATCAAAAAATCTGCACTTGGCGGATTTACAAATTTATTAACATAGTTTTGATTAATTATGATATGGTGCACTCTAATACTCTATGAATCAGAAATTGATCGTAATGATGTATAAATAGATCTTTGTTAATTATCTATAAAACGAATAATGGTATACTGTAATTGACATATTTCACATATCATATCTTCCTCAATGTGATTAACTTGTGATTGTGTCTATGTTCAAGCATTGCAGAAATTTGAAATACTGATTTCGATTGATAGTTGTGCAAATACTTTATTATGTTTTTTGTCGTTACCATTAAAAATTTATTTTTACAAAGTTGTAATGAAAAAAAACCCCTATGCAAACCATTGCAATTTCTGTTTAACTTTTTTCAGACTTCATCAACTTGCATATGTTGCTATAATAAAATTATCCAAGAAATTTCAGTTTCCTGCTTTTTTATTAATATATTTTTTGCGTTATTGGTCGTTGAGTAAAAAACTCAAATTCGCGTATGTAAAAATTTATATTATAAAGTTTTTATTACAAATAAAATTTATTTGGTCAGAACGTATAAATTGTTACGATTTGTTTTACATGTATTACTTGAGACAGGCCTACTTTTTAGAGGAGTTTTTTCTTTCCCGCTCCCAAACCTGAATGCTATCTGAATATTTCTTGGCTTCATTTAAGTGTGCCCTATCATCGAATATATGTATATAATATTTTCCTCTTTATGCCACCACCCAAATAATTTTAGTGAAACATAGCAATCCAGTATCTTTCTAGGGATTGGAACCGCCTAGAAATTCTTTAATCGTTTAACCGTTTAATCGTATTAACCGTTTAACTCGGCTGGCATTAAGATAATTCGGCCCGAAATTATGGAACAATTTTTATGCGGTTAAACGGTTCTAATCCCTATATCTTTCCATCCCTCCAACTTTTAATTGTTTCGCCATCAGTTATTTCAAGGACGAAATTTTTTTCAGTATTAGGTCCGAGTGCATATATAAAACATTTATATAATCATCCAAGCGATAAAAAGTTTCGTGAGATTTAAGAAATTCAGATATATTCGAAACACGAAAATGATATTATACCCAGTGATGTAAATTGGGTTCGCGCAGTACATAGATCTAAGTTTGCGCGTATATTAGCGCTTTTCGTATATATAGCCCGCGTATAAAATTTTTTTTTTTTGTACACATTTTTTTGCATTTGCGCAAATAAAAATTTTTGAATTTATAACACTGATTATACCTGATGACCAAAACCATATTTCAATCTTCCATTTAAGGCCTTAACTATTAGAGGACCATAGTCACCATTGCCGGTTATTAAAGTCAAAGTACTGGGGTTATTCGCCTTAGCTATAACTTTCACTCCTTCAGATACAAGAGAAGTATCTGCTATCTTCTCTTTATTTTCACAATATCGATCAAAGACGTTTACTATGAAACCAAGATTTCAAGCTTGTGACCATATCTCATCGTTGGGGGCGGATGAGAACCAACAATCACTGGATCACTGCCTATTTTCCGTCCGTGCAGTACTGTTGATAAAAGACGACCATGATCGAAATGGAGTTAGTTGATAATATAGGAATCTCTATAGAAATCAAAGAAACCTGCTTTCTCTCTACACTTTCCCTCAATAAGTATGTTGGAATTGTCAATAAAAAACAGTTACAAATCCAGTGTTTGAATTTGGGATGTTTGCTATAAGGCGAGAGTTTTAGTAACGAATTATATAATTACAATGAAACAAAATCTCAAGTACATTTACACTTTTTGAGTTCGACAATAAATATTGCAAGTCCTCTCAAACCATAACTTCGAAATTTTTCTTCAGTGGTTTCAATGAAGTCTAGACCTGTTATTTTTTCCTTAAGAAATATTGCAAGGTCTTCGTCGTCTAGTTTCAAATTCTTTTTTCGCAAATATTCAATTAGCTACTCAGTGCTATAAATTTTAACTATATCTGCCATCTTATGAATGGACTCTTCATCACAGGAAACACTTGAGGGTGAGGATGATTCTGAATATGAAAGGTTCTGTTATTGTGCCCAGGTTTATAATCGAAAAACTATGGAATCTACAGGGTGACTAGATTTATACTATTATTCCATAACAGGTTTTTTTTACTACTGTGCCTAGATTATTCGCAAAGTACTGCAGAACCTATCGCTATGCAATTTTAAACACTACTCATGCTTATTTGAAGTGTAGATGAATAAGTATTTATGTTCATGATTTTAATTCCAATTATTGATGTTAATAAATCAACTTTCTACTCACGCATTTGAGGAGTATTAGGTTGTTGATGCAATAAATATTAAGAGATAAGTATGTATTTATGAATAAGTTTTATGTTTATGATTTTTAATGCCACTATGTTAATAAATCATTTTTATATCCATAATAAATTAAATGTGAAAGGCATT